TGTCAAAGGCATTTCACTCTGTCCATAAGTCTCAGCTTAAAGGCTCTCATTATTTCCATGAAGCAGCGGGGCAGTGGGGGGAACTTAACTCTGCCACCAAGGGCACAGAGGCACAGAGCCATATCGTAGGGCTCATGATTCCAAGCTGTGGGGCAGGCAGGCAGGGTCTCATATTGATTTCAGAAATTGATAAGTTCAGAGGTCATCAAAAGCAATCAGGTCAAGGACTGCAGACTTCAGAGGCTGAGGAGCCACTAATTCAAGTCTAGGTTTCACAAGCCCATGCTTCTTTTAGACAAATCCTAGTTCTTTTAGCATATCCAATCACGTTTTGGCTGAAGGTAGTACAAGATCTTTTCATTCTATGTTGTTGTTATGGCCCATTATGACTCCAGTAGGTTTTTAGAGGCTATAAGTCCCATAGGAGGAGATTGTGATCTTTCTCCTGCAGAGCAACTGGTGCATTCAGACTACATGTCTTTGGGTTGGCAGCACAGTTACTTACCACTAAGTCACAAGAACGTGTAGGATCCAATATTTTATGTGTATGTGTGTGTGTGTGTGTGTGTGTGTGTGTGTGTCTGTGTGTATAGAGAGAAAGACAGGATTTATCTTAGCAAAGGAGAGATTAGGTGTATTAGGAAGCCCTCACAGGACACGTGCTGTAAGTTTCCTCTTTCAAGATGGTGTTTATCTGGTTGGATGCTTCGTCATTATGGGACATGCACCTTGGCCACCTTCTTATGGCTGCTTTCTAGACGTTTAACAGTGGTCATGTTCTCAGCTCTGCATACACACAACACCAGTCGACTTTTTTTAGACAACTGCAACAGAAATTCTTAGCAAAGCCAAAGGTCATAAGGAGAGAACGTTTGGGACTGTGTGTGTCAGCGGAATCTTGGGCTCCTTACGTGGCGTGTATCCATGCTCCTTGTGATGCAGCAATATCTGAGAACTGCTCGTATTAGGACTTCTTGAGCTGAATTGTTTTAGGCAGAAAATCCTTTTCTAGGAAAGAAAGGTGGTTTTATTCAGGATATCATGTAAAAGGATAACAGGAAAGTTTATGATTCAGAGGTAAAGTAGTTTAGCATTTTTATTCATATTCATGGAAAATGCCCTAGTGGGAAGGTTTTGTGCTATTGACCTAAAAGAATGCAGCTGAGTTCCACTAGACTCTCTGCTGCAGGAAGATGGGCAATCTCTTCCTGTATGAGTTTATGTACAGCCTCTGAAAACCTGAGCGTGGGTCAACTCTGAGTAGATTCTGACTCTATGCTACACAACAATGACATTCATTGAAAAGATCTTCATTGATAAAAGGTCTGGAAATCTTATCCATTATGTTAAGGAAAGGGAGTGGAAAGGCATATGCTAACAAAGGGCTTCCGTTTGCTAAGGTTTCCCTCAACTCTTAAACTAAGGCGATAAAAGGCTTCAAATTAATAAGGAGGTCTCTTTTCAACTCTGCTAAATTAAAAGGACACGTTTTCCTTTTAAAGTATTAATGAAGGAATGTTCGTTTCAAGCTGTTACAAGATCTTTTAAAAAGTTTGTTTCTTCTTGCTTTCTTGAGTATGGTGACAATACTGGTGGCTTGGGTGATGTGCATCTAAGTCTTTAAAGTGGTTTCCTTGCCTTGTAGCACATTCAAGAAGTCTTTGACAGTAGATGTACCCAGTGATATTCATCCATTGATGTCTTGACTGTTGCTTCTGTGGGTATGGATTGTGGGTCCAAGTAAAATGGAATCCTTAACAACTTCAATATTATCTTCAAATTAACTTCAATCATGATATTACTTATTGATATGATTGTGAGCACGTTTGTTTTCTTTTAAAAAAACGTTTAAAATTAATTTTAATGAAAGTTTATGGAAAGTTTCCAGTCATTCATTTTTGCACTTCTCTCCCTACCCACCCCTCCCCCCATGTTTGTTTTCTTGATGTTGAGGTGTAATCCATATTGAAGGCAGTAGTCTTTGATCTTCTTCAATAAGTGCTTCAATTCCTCTTCAGGCTCTACAAGCAAGGCTGTGTGATCATAATGTATGTGACTGATGAGTCAATCTTGCTGCCACATTCTTTGTATAATCCAGTTTCTTAGATTATTTGCTCAATGTACAAATTGAATAAGTAAGTGATACACTCTTGACAACACCTTATCTGATTTTTAAAAAATTTATTTTATTATTTTTATGTGAGTGTACCATCAAATCAGATCTGACTGGTACAGGAGGAGATTATCCCTCCTTCCCCTGCAGAGACCTTATCTGATTTTAAACAAAGCAGTACCTCCTTATTTGGTTGGAAGAACTGCTTCTTAGCTAACATACAGGTTCCAAATGGGCACAATTAAGTGTTCTGGAATTCCTATTCTTCACAAGATTATCCATTGTTGATTATGATCCACATAGTCAAATGCTTTGCATAGTCAGTAAATTACAAGTGAATATCTTTCTTGTCTTTTCTGCTGTTAACTAAGATCCACCTGACATCAGCAATATCTCTTGTTCTACAGCCTCTTCAGGATCCAGCTTGGATTTTCTGGCAGTTCTCAATGGTGCTGCAATTGTATTTAAATAATGGTGCAATATTTACTTTCATGTGATAATAATAATGATATTGTTCAATAATTTTCACATTCTGTTTGATTTTTTTAAAATGGGCACAAATAGAGACCTCTTCCAGTTGTTTGATCAGATCTTTCTTTTTTTTAAGTACATTTTTTCTTTTATATTGATTTACATAGAAAATTTGTATACTTTGTTTTCCACACTGAATCTTTCCCATTTCCTTTACCCATTCTTCCCTCTACTCATCAAATTATGCGACCCTATGATTATTCCCCCACCCCCACCTCCACCCACCCTCACCCTTCTGCCACTACCCTCTCTGCCCGTGGATCCTCACACATGTTTTACTTGTTATCTTTCTATTTCTACAATAATGATCTTATACAGTATTTGTCCTTAAGGTACTGAGTTAGTTCACTTAGTATAATACTCTCCAGTACCTCCCAACTTAAGTAGTGATTTTACAAATCATTGCTCCTGCATGCTGCATAGTATTCCATTGTGTGAGTGTCCCATAATTTCTCAATTGAGCAGGTCATTCTTGACAGACCAGTGAAGATGTCCAGGACTGTAACTGCTTGCTAAAACACCTCAACTGGTATTCTGTGAATTCCAAGCGTCTTATTATGTATTTATTTAATATTTGCCAATGCCTTCAGTATAGCTTACAGTTTTTCCTTCAGTATGATTGAGTCTTGATCATATGGTACTTCTGAAATAATTCCATGTGGACTAATCCTTTTTTGTATAATGACCAGGTATTCGTTCCTTCTTTTTATTCTCCCTGAGTCATTCAGTATTTTGCCCCCAGAGTTTTTAATGTTGCAACTTGTGGCTTGAATTTTTTTTTTCTTCAATTCTTTTAGCTTGAGGAATACCAAGAGTGTTCTTCCCTTCTGGTTTTCTAATGCCAAGTCTTTGAATTTCACCTATACTTTACTTTGACTTTTCAAGATGTCATTGCTTTTATGTGCCATTGAGTCATCTGCAACTCATTGCAATCCTTTGCACAATAGCTCTGAACTCTACTGTCTCCTGAACCAGTCTCACTATATCTGACACACCTATCCTCATTACCCCAATTACTGCATCAATCCCTCTCATCTAGGATCTTCCTCTCCTGCATTGTCTCTCCATCCTTCCAGGCATGTTGTTCTCCAAGGATTTGTCCATCCTTGTCACATTCCCAAAGTATGAGAGATGGAGCTTCAATATTCTTGTCTCCAAGGATCAGCTTGGTTTCACCCTCTTCAAGACATATCTGTTTGTTATCTTGGTGGTCTATG